ATGGTCAAAATGAGATTAAGAAACTATGAAGGCTTCATTATCGTTCAGTCACAATCTGTTCTCCCTTCTTCTCAATCTATTATGTTGAGGAAACATATCTCGAGAGAATTTTTCTACCCACAATCCACTTCGCCTTAATTAGCCCAATAAAGACACTGCACAAGAATGTACAAGCAAAATCAGTATAAATAAATATCCATCTTACATAATGGCCAACCTAGCATGCTTTGAAGGCATGGATATATGACTAGAAACTAAATCTCTCCACCTAAGAACGAAGAACAACATAGCAATAAAACTGAAAGCTTGAAAATAATGAAGATAGACAGATTGCATACATGCGGAAGAACATATTATATTTGTTAATTACCAAACTAACCCATGAAAATGAAATCGGGATGATGATGATCAAAATACAGCATTCGACTATTATTTCAATAATAGAACTTTTTGTAAGGATTTTAATAGAACATGTGGGCTTATATGTGAAATTGTGTATTAAATTAAAAGCTATCAATTTTCGTTAAACTCATTTAAAGTGATCGAATAAGATTTTGGTGTTTTGGGTTTAAAGCATCTAATTAAAGTATGGACTTATATGTGTAGAGACCAGATTTGTTCATAATTTCATAATAGGCCGAATTAGGTCAACAGGCTGTTAGTATAAATATACAGTTATGGTCCCTGGATCATCAGAGAGAAATAAATTAACAACGTATTGATTAGGAAGACTAAAACCGCATGATTCATTCATCGTGTTAATCATGTCTGATTCATGTACGTTTCCGCTTTCGGTTTACATATTCTTGATGATCCAACCCGAACGAGTCATATGACAATAAAGCATATTTTCCCAACAAGTGGTATCAAAGCCAATTCATGTTGAATCATTGAGAATCGAAATTTTTATTTGATTATTGTAATAATTTCATTATTTTCAAATTTACCAATTTCGGATTTAGCTTTGTTAAATTTGAATATCATTCGGTTGGTTTTTCAAAGAATTCAGAAATTTCAGTTCTTTTTTTTTTTATTTGGGGCACCACGGCAGCTGAAACCAGCTCCTCCGTTGGATGTAGCAGTCGGAGTTGCTGCTCGTCGCTGCAGTCGGGGTGCCAGGCTTAGTGCTCGCTTGTAGGCGAGTGCTGATTCCGGTTTCCATAAAAAAAATTA